GGGCTGGGGGATTCCAGCTGGAAGGTTGCTCCGTGCCCTAATCCCCCGCCTCGGTAAGGTGGGGAAGGGGCAGAGCTTGCCAGCTCTGTTACATGAGCCGCCCGGGGATGAAACCGCTCGGCCACCTCTTTGCCAGGCTGCCAGTTCTCATGGGGGAACGGCGTTTGAAAAGCGGAGAAGCCAGAGATTGTATTTCATGGGGCTGTTTTCCAGCTTTTTTAGCAGGAGGGGGGAAAGAGAAGGATGTGGTGTTAAATATCGTCTCTGAATGGGATGCGCTGGTGTGTTCCCACTCACATCTGGCTTCCCGTTCCCACCAGATGTTGGAAACCCTCCTCCACGCTCACGTCAAGCCTCAGCATCTGGCCCCATACGTCCCACGAGTGGTTCTCTTTTTACCTGGACGAGTTTATCGATCCCAAGAGCTCGATCCAGCTCGGCCAACTCCGTCTCGTCTTTGCCGCTGAGGAAGGAGACGAGTTGCTCGAGCAGAGCTTTCTCATCGTTCCGTCCCTCCGGCGTGGTGGGAGGACACAGGAGCTCGTCCAGCTGCGAGGTGATGCACTGGCTGCCGAGAGAAGAAGTCAAGAGGGAGGGCACGTTACGGTTTAGGAAGCGGGGAGGAGGCTGAGCTGGAAGATGCTTGAGCCGCAGAGCCCCTGCAGGGACTTGCATCGTGCAAATCCCACGGGATACAGCCCCGTCCCCCAGCTCCGACACCGGCTGAACCCCCTCCAACCCCAAATCTCCTTGTAAGGATGAGACTCTCCAAGAAACAAAGCCTGGAGGGCGTTTTGGTGAGGTTTGGGAAGAAAATGGTGCTTTTGCAGGGTTTGGGGCAGGACAGCGGGAGGCAGAGCAAAACTTTTGCCGGCACAAAAAGCGGGGAGGCTCGGATGGAGCCGCAGCAGCTGGAAGCAAAGCAGCTGAAGGCAAAATTGTAACATTTGAGCTGCAAAAAAAAAAAAAGAAGATTTTTTGCAAAGCTGGCTCGATACTCTTTGGGAATAAGATTAATATGTAATGAGAGACATTCCAATGACGTGACTAATTGGAGGCGATGGGATTTGCCGGGTCTGACACGCCGGAGAGAGCCGTGGCACATCACGCTCGCAGCGAGGCACAAAGGCGAGAGCTCCAACGTGCCAGCGGTTCCCAGGCAAGCAGACATGTTTATCCTTTTTAGCTCCAGATGAGGACCAGATGTACAGTAAGGAACTGAAGCCAAGCTGACCGAGACGGCCGCAGCCAACACACGCAGCCTCATCCAGGGAAAAGAAATACTCGGTGCTGGGATTTCTTAAATTGCAGAGAGGGAAGCGGGTAGAGAGAGAGGTGAAAAGCTGGAATAGTTTCACTCCGTAGCCAAGGTCCCGGCTACTTGCTGCTTTTATCCAGCCCAGTTTTTCAGTGCCAAGGCCAAAGGACGATGTTTGCTGCGCAGACATTGTTCGGGCTGCTTCTCCCCAGGAACAGGCAGCTGGAGGAGCAATTCAGGTTGGCACCATCTCTTCAGCCCATGCCGGAGCTCTGCCTGGATGCAAAAGTTGGTTTGTAAAGAGCTCGTGGAGACAACACAACCTTTATGTGACAAATAAACCTCCAGCGCGTCCTGCTGTGCAGCCCCTGCAGCCTGCAGAGCCTTCCCCTCTCCTCTCCTCCAGCACCGTGCCACGGTGGGGTTCAGACGCGGCTCCGGGCAGGTGACAGTGAAACAGAGGAGATCCTGGACCCCATCCATCATGTCCCCAGACTTTTGCTTTCATGTTGCAAAGCTCTTCTATCCATCACGACCCTTCAGGCTTTTTTTTTAAGGTGAAAACTCTGATTCTGCATGTGGTGAGGAGGAGAAATGCGGCTCCTTGCAGACATGGTGTCAAATGCTGCTCGAGGTCCCATAAAACATCTCCCTGGCATGGCCTTCAAGCGCCGTTCCGAAGGGCTGCGGGTCCCCAGCCCTGCACAGATATCCTCGAAACCCCAGGCATCTCAGACAGCACAGGGTGCCAGCACTGAGGCAACCGAATTGGGCCCCAGTGGCGTGTTTGACCTTGGGGGATTAGAGGAACATGTGCGAGAACAGCGACCTGGACTTAGTTGGAGGAGCCCTGGACCTGGCCCAAGGTGTCCATCTTCTGCAGAAGACACCCGAGCACTTATGCTGGGGACATGGAGGAGAGGATGCTGCTGTCCCACTACATCAGGAGGCAAGGGCGTGGGAGGGTTTGGAAACAGCAGAAAGGAAGCTCCTGTTCTCCAGGACACCCGGTGCTGGGAGGTCTGGGCACCACCAGCTCCTTAAACAAGGCCAGGAGCTCAGCCTGGTCCAGCTGACGCCGACCTCCCAGCTGGGAAACCTTTACAACCCCGAAGCAAAAGCTCTGCTGGTTTGATCTTCACTAAAATATATTTCCTGTAATACCTGCGGTCCAAAGGCTCTGTCTGCTTGCTCCAAATGGTCTCCATTGGGTGGACAGGCAGCTGCTGGGACCGTGGGCATCTCCCAGGATGAGCATCTCCTCCCCAGCTGTCCTGCACATCTCCAGGTCTCCAGGACCAAAATCCAGAGGCTTTTCCCCAGCAGAATCTCTTCTCTTGATGCAGTGGAGGCAGGGTTTTGTAGCTGATCGCCATGCTGCTGGATGGAAGCGTTTAGACCCCACCAAGATGCTTCTGAGGCAGGTCTCACCCATCAGACCCCAGCAGCCAGAGGGAACCGAGCTGGGAACCAGCTTCTTCCAGTGCTGCCTCCACCCACCACCTCCAGCAGGAACCACCCGCTCCTGGAGACGCTCATTCAGGAGGAACGGAGGCTCCCTGGGACCACCAGCCCTCCACTTCTCCTCCTGCTGTCACCTCATGGCCCCAGTCCATGTGTTGGCTCTCCCAGTGGCTCCCATCACACCTCCACCACCAAGGAGCCCGACCTCGCTCCAGGGACCTGCTGGCACCACGGGAAGTCCCACCATGCACGTCCCAAGTTCTCCTTGCTCTCTCTCCCCTCCACGCCGATAAAATCAAACACAACCTGGTGAAACCCTAACCAGGCTGGAATTTGAAAGCATGGTTGAAACCATCATTCTTCCCGAGGCAGCAACTCTGCAAAATTTGTTGCCTCCACATCTCACCAGGCTTTGGGAAGATGCCACTGCTCCACTGGTCCAACCGTGTCTCCTGGCTCCTTGCCTAAAATCCACCCAAGGTGTTTTTCCCACCTGAGGACTCCCAGGATGCTGGTGCCAAACGTTTCCCTCCTTGATACCTGCACAGGTCCCAAGACTTCCACGCCAACGTGGGTCCTCACTCAATAATCCTCCAGCAAAGGCTGAGCCAGAAGAAAATCCAGAGATTCCCTTCCTCCCAGCTGTGCTGGCCAGGGAGACAAAAATGTCCAGAGCCGGCCAGACTGACTCAGTGCTTGGAGCACGAGGCTGCTGAGTAAGGTAAGGTCATTTTTTACCCCAGAAACAGCATTTTAAGGAACATCTGTAGCTTAAAACACTGCTTGATTTTTCTAGCAGCTCTGCCCTTTGCCAGGCGTGCCCCATGGATCCCATCCCAACAACATAACGACACCGGCAAGGCTTTAAAGGAAAGTTAGGTCCTTGTGGCAAGGGCTCAGGCTGATGGAAATGCCCCGTTGGACAGGGATTTGTTTTATCTCACAGCTCTTTCAAGCAGAAAGAGGCTTTCCAGCAGAAATCCAAGATGCAGTTGCAGCAGTGGAGACCACGTAGGCAACTCTTCTTGGGCTGAGCGAAGAGCTTTTAGGAATTAATCCCAATTTAGCCCCTAGAAAAAGATGTTTTCCTGCTGCCTTGCTCCAGTACGACTTTTACACGTCGTCTTCATGACCAGAAAGCAGAGGTTGAGCTCATCTGCTAAAGACTTTAACCAGTCGAGGAAATTCAGCCTCTCCGCAAAGCAGGGCTGGGCTCTGGCAAGAGGATCCGTGCAGAGCTCATCGGTGCTGGCTCTTACACCCCGTACCCGAGGCCCTCCCTGGGCCAGGATTGACCTCCTGCTCCCATCAAATCCATCTCCATGGGTGCTGCTGCCTCGGCGAGGACCTTGGGGTGCCCCTGGCCCGGCAGAGCATTGACTGCTAGCTCCATCAGCAGGGCTGTCCCCCCTTCTGACCTCCCATCCCAAAATATCCAACCTCTGATCTCCTCCAACCCATTTCTATCCCAGGAGAGACATTGTATGTTGGGCAGGTGATGACCCCTTGGCTGCTCCACGGGGCACGGACCCAACGAAGGTGTTAGAGGAGCAGAGGGGCTCTTGGGTTAGAGCTGTGAGAATTTTAACCGAAGCAAGCGCACAGGGACTGCAAAGAGCTGCAATCACGTGAAAACACAAAACCAGCCCATGGATCTCCAGATCCCACCACCACCCCTGGCGAGAGGGATGCTGGAGGTCACCAATCCAAATCACAGCACTGGCGAGGGACAGCGGGGACGTGCAGCACCCTCAGCTCTGTCCTGGATATACGGGATTCTTCAGGTCCAGACACACCCCTGGATGTCTCCCCCAAGCCCCCCTCCCTTGTTTACTCCTCCCTAGAGAGATAACAGATGTCATCTCTCGTGTCTAACACCCTACACATCCCAGGTCCTGGCACTTTATGGTGCCAGCAGCAACCACCGCTGCCATACGG